TAATAGGGGTATTTCATTAGCTGCCATTCATTTTAATGAATGGGTAATTAAATAGTGTCTTTTTACAAAATGCAAGTCTGTAAGCTTTTTATTTTACCATTTTATTTTATCCTGTTCGGTTAAATCTATATCAAGGAATGTAAAAGGATGCTCATTGTTTCATCACAAAATGCTCTGAAGAAGCTGTTACTTATCTTTAGTTGTCTTTTGAACTTCCTCTCTCCGGATGTTCATAGCTGTCAGCTTGTTTGATCTTATCAAAAAATGTAAGTTAAAAAAACCCCTGTTGCATTTTGTCCAGGAAATGTCTCTTCTCAGTATACCGTTTTTTAATGTTTGTGTTGCTGGATTTCTTTGAGCTGCCTAGATGTATTTTTGCACAAGTAAGGTTTGAGGTAGAAAATATATTTAAAGTTAAGAAAGCACATTCAGGCGTTCAACACTAGTTCACATATATTCAAGCCACGCAATTGAGTGACAAACTAGTTTATTTTTCTTCCAGGGTTATAGTTCCTGACCCTTCTCAGGTGTTGAGTCTCCCTGGTCAATTGAGGAGTATTAAGTGTCAGGCTGGGATGCGGTTGGCACTGTGGGTTAAACCACAGAGCCTAGGACTTGCCAATCAGAAGGTCGGCGGTTCAAATCCCCGCGACAGGGTGAGTTCCTGTTGCTCGGTCCCTGCTTCTGCCAACCTAGCAGTTCGAAAGCATGTCAAAGTGCAAGTAGATAAATAGGTACCGCTCCGGCGGGAAGGTAAACGGCGTTTCTGTGCGCTGCTCTGGTTCACCAGAAGCTGCTTAGTCATGCTGGCCACATGACCCGGAAGCTGTACGCTGGCTCCCTCGGCCAACAAAGCGAGATGAGCGCTGCAACCTCAGAGTCAGTCACGACTGGACCTAATGGTCAGGGGTCCCTTTACCTTTAAGTGTCAGGCTAAGCCCACGTGTATTAAGGAAATGGTCATCCTGTCATGAGATGATCAAAACAAGAGGAGAAGGAGAGCAAAGCAGACTTAGATAACTGTACTGTATATAGGGATATAGAAATCTGTTTTACCTTGAGTTAGACAAATGTTTCCCCAAACTTGGGTCTCCAGTGGTTTTCAGACTACAATTCCCATCATCCCTGACCACTGGTCTTGCTAGCTAGGGATGATGGGAGTTGTAGCCCAAAAACAGCTGGAGGGCTAGTGTTTGGGAAACACTGAGTTAGACCTTTGGTCCACCTAGCTGTCTATCCCAGAAATGGGTAATCGGTGGCCTTCCACAAGTTGTTGGACTCCAAATTCCATTAGCCCAGGCCAAGAACATTTAGAGGGCCACAGGTTTTTCACAGACTGGCAGCAGCCCCCTGTGGTTTCAGAAACAAGTTTGTCCTCGTCCTACCTGGAGAGTCCAAGGATCTTTTGCATACAGAGCTCCTGCTGAACCACCTTGCTACAGCCCTTTGCCTAATAATAATAATAATAGTAATAATAATAATAATAATAATAATAATAATAATAATAATTTATTATTTATACCCCGCCCATCTGGCTGGGCTTCCCCAGCCACTCTGGGCAGCTTCCAAAAAATATTAAAATACTATAATACATCAAACATTAAAAGCTTCCCTAAACAGGGCTGCCTTCAGATGTCTTCTAAAAGTCTGGTAGTTGTTGTTCTCTTTGACATCTGGTGGGAAGGCGTTCCACAAGGAAGGTGCCATATAAACACTGTAGGTGGTTTGGGGAAACCCTGGTGTTCCCCACAGCTATTTCAACACATCCTATTGCCTTCAGACCAAGGGCAGCACAACACATTTCACCTATGGCTGTAGTGCACAGTCTGAAGGATGCAGCTGAGGATTCCTCACAGTGATGCAGATAATTCTAGGTTATTTGCTATTGCAAGGGATCAAGGAGAGTACCTTTCAGATGGCCTGAGAGTGCAAACATAGTACTTTCGCATCTTCAGACAGCTAATAATATAAAATGAACATGTTGTTCCAAGGCTTCCTTCTGTTTGAATGAATGATTGATTAAATTTAGACCTCACTCTTCCTTCAAGTAATTTAGGACAGAATCTGTGGTTCTTTCCTCCCTTCATTTTATCTTCACCTGTGTGATACGTTCAGTTGAGAAAATTGGTCTAGTTACAAGATTACCCACTGAAGTGAACAAGGAGTTTGAACCCAGGTTTACCCAGTCTTGGTTCAACACTGTACCAACTTTGTGACATACAGAGAGAATCCCTTATTTGAAATTTTCCATTAAATGCCTGTTGTTATTATTTGAAAACAAAGCAAACATGCTTCAGAAATATAAGGATTTAATGCTTGGTTAAAGGTAAAGGGACCCCTGACCATTAGGTCCAGTCGTGACCGACTCTGGGGTTGTGGCGCTCATCTTGCTCTATAGGCCGAGGGAGCCGGCACACAGCTTCCAGGTCATGTGGCCAGCATGACTAAGTCGCTTCTGGTGAATCAGAGCAGTGCACGGAAACACCGTTTACCTTCCCGCCGGAGCGGTACCTATTTATCTACTTGCACTTTGATGTGCTTTTGAATTGCTAGGTTGGCAGGAGCAGGGACCGAGCAACAGGAGCTCACTCCGTCACGGGGATTCGAACTGCCGACCTTCCGATCGGCAAGCCCTAGTTTCAGTGGTTTAACCCACAACGCCACCCACAATGCTTGGTTAGGTTTTTTTAATTAATATAGCGCTATTTGATCCTCATGGATGCTCCAACATGAGTGCTTTGAGTTGTTTTGAGCACAGTAAGCTTTCTTATTCCAGGTTAGACAATTTGCCCATCAGGTCCAGTATTGTCTACTCTCCAAGATCATAGCAGAAGTCTTCTCCAATACTGTTACCACGACCTTTTTTAAAAAACTAGAATTTCTGGGAATCAAAGCTAGGACGCTTTCCATGCAAAGTATCAGCTCCCCCACTGAGTTATGGTCACTCATTTTTGTTCATTGGCCCCAAAAGGCTCTGTTCGTACAAGATCCATAGTTTGACTTTGTTTGTATAATCCGGTGGCCTTGATCCCAAAACGCGCAACAGAACAAGATTTGATTCTAAACCATGGGTAGGCAAACTAAGGCCTGGGGGCTGGATCTGGCCCAATCGCCTTCTAAATCTGGCCCACGGATGGTCCAGGAATCAGCGTGTTTTTACATGAGTAGAATGTGTGCTTTTCTTTAAAATGCATTTCTAGGTGGGGCATTCTCCCCCCCCCAAAAAAAAATAGTCTGACCCCCCAAGGTCTGAGGGACAGTGAACTGGCCCCCTGCTGAAAAAGTTTGCTGACCCCTGTTCTAAACTGTCCTAGGCAGTGCGCATGCGTATAACTTACAGAAGTTCGTGTTCTTCAGCGATACATTTTTCTGCAGCATTCTTTCAATTAAAATCCGGATCATGTTCTCCTAAGGTAACCATAGCTCTGTTAAACTACTGAGAATATAAATGAAAATACTAGATGAGAAGAAATGTGGGAGTTTAGGTTAAAGCGAAACCAAACATCATATTAGTGCATCCATGGAAAACCACAGCAGGCTGTTGGATGGTGATCAGTCTAACTGGTAGGCCTTGAGAAGATTATATGGAGGCATTTTCTAAAACTGCTCAGATGGTCTTTTAATTTCTGAAAATAGGAGGCTCTTGGATGTGAGGAGTGAGTATATTCAGCTACATCCTTTTTAGGTTTTGCTCAAACCAAAACGGCTCACTTTTAATAATGATTAAGCCTTAGATGCGAGTGGCACTGTGGGTTAAACCACAGAGCCTAGGACTTGCCAATCAGAAGGTTGGTGGTTCGAATCCCCACAAAGGGGTGAGCTCCCATCGCTCGGTCCCTGGTCCTGCCAACCTAGCAGTTCAAAAGCACATCAAAGTGCAAGTAGATAAATAGGTAAACGGTGTTTCCATGCGCTGCTCTGGTTTGCCAGAAGCGGCTTAGTCATGCTGGCCACATGACCCGGAAGCTGTACGCCGGCTCCCTCAGCCAATAAAGCGAGATGAGCGCCGCAACCCCAGAGTCGGTCACGACTGGACCTAATGGTCAGGGGTCCCTTTACCTTTACCTTTAAGCCTTAGATAATGCGTCCATTTGTTAGTGAAACACACTTAGAAAATAACTGGGTTGGTGTGCAAACTTCCTGTCCTGACCATACGCAGGAGCACATGAGACCTGATGGATACCTGAAGGTGGCTTAGTTAGGGGGGAAGGAAGTTGCAGATCACTGGTCCATCACTGAGAGTCAGTGGAAGGTGTTGGAGACAAATTAAGGAGACATAATTTCCTTCATGCTCTTGATAGCTAAGCTTTGCAGTCAACTTTGCAAAGGAAAAGTAAACTAAGCTAAGCTAGCTGCATTGTGCTCTTACTGGGTCATTTAACCACTTAGTAACTATTTTGCCACCTGGAATACCTTTCAATGATGCTATGTTTTTCTTCTTCTCTGTGACTCTTTTAGAAACTGTAGCTAAATTCCTGTTGAGAGCAACAAAGTCACAAGCTAAGATCTTGTCCAAATAAATGTAACTATGCTTCTTTCCCGTTAGGTAGTTAGTTGGTATTATATCTAATCTTATATTTGTTTGTGTAACTAGATTTATATACTGCTTAATCAACAACCAAAAACTCTAATCAGTTTATATAAAATAGTATAAAATATTAACTGAAAATACAGTTAAAACAAATGTTAAAAAGTGGTTTAAAAAACAAGCATACATGATAACATTGCATGTTAAAATGTGTGGGGTTTGCCTAAACAAATAAAATTTTAGCACATGTTGAAAGCAATGCAGCAAAGGCACTTGCCTAATATTAGTATTTTTATATATTACTGGATATGCAAGTCTTATTGTGAGTTCTGTGGATTGACTCGGCTAAATCCCAGTGGTTTTCATTGGGAAGAAAGTGCATCTAACTTTGTCTGGATACAGCCCAATGTTTTCTTCTCTCTGCCACAGTTTCATGTACTGAAGCATTTCCTCGCTTCCCCCTCTTTTTCAGGATGAGATGGGCATTGCTTGCGAGTTGCTGGAGCCAGACTCTGACTTTCTGAAGTGCAGCGTGGGCTTCCCCTTCATGAGATCAAAGTCAAAGGTAGAGAGTTATGGCTTTCAGTAGCTGTGAGCTTCTCTGTGTAACAAGCGGACCTTTGGGTCTCTGACTGCTTTGCAAGCACAGCATGGCTTTGCGCCTTGACCACAGAGGTGCTGTGGTCACCATTCTGCTCTCGCTGTGAAGTGCCCTTGGTCTTTCCTCACCAAACAAAGTTCAATGGTCGGGCTGTGGCGGCTGTTCGTAGCCACAGAGCCCTAATAGAAGCTGACTGAGAATTCTAATGTGAGTTCTTTTTAGCGGCCAGAAAATCATGCTATGAAGCTTCCTTGGCTGACATTTGGAGGAGAGCAGTCCACCAATTCTGTCCTTAGCTGCCCTGCTTTATCATGTATTGTCTCCTGCTATTCAAAGTATGTAATGTTCTGATACATGCTATGCAATGCAGAGCCAATAAAAATAAATGGTGGTGTTATTTTTTCATTCTGAATTTTTATTTGTCATATTTTTTCAGTTAGCTAGTGGGCCTATAGCCTTTCATTCCTACAGTGCTGCTGGGTGTTTCAAAGCTAGATTCTCTGTGTACAACCAGTGAAGCCAATTGCCAAATCTATTTTGAATTCTTCAGTTTTTAGTTATTTCCTGTTCCTTGCTGTTCCCAGTTTCTTGAACTTGGGAGGGGAGCGCCTGTCATGGGACAGCGATGTAGCTGCTTTGTGTTTACTCACATTTGATGGCATGCTGTGGTACAGATCCGAGAGGGGCCATACTTCCAATGTTGGATATGAGTTCCTGTCTGTACTTGCATATGTGAGTAATGCATGCAGGTGACGTTGGTTATGTATAGAAAAACAACTATGGCTCTTTACCTATGAAAGCTTTAGGCATTTCAAATGGTGCTCAATGTATGCATTTTAGAGAAATGGCAGCAATGTCACAGAAGAAATGTATTTCATTCCAATATGGTTCATATCCAGAACAAGATCCACAAAGTGCTAAACACTGTTTTCTTTACCCTTCCTAGTATGAGTTCAGCGTCATCTTTGATACTAGTCATTTGTCTGGGGAAGAGGACATTCTCTCATTCCTTGTCACTGCTCAGAGGTAAAGTATATTTCACTTTTAATCTTCAGGCAGATAGACGCAGGAAAAAGATGGTTTTATGGAGAAAGAGAAAAAACTGGCATGGGACTGAAACAGACTGACTTGTTCATCCTTAGCTAGATATGGACATATTTGGAGGAAAATATTTATCGAATGCTGGCACAAATTCCTTCCTTTTCTTTCATTTTTTAAAAGATGCACAATGGTTAACGTTTTAGCATGCCATTTGCAGAGAGGCCAAGATTTAAATACTGGTATGTGTATAGATGATAAGAATATTCAGAAAGGCACAGTATTCAGGATGCAGGCAAGAGTCCTGGAAGGATTAAAACCAGCGTATAACAAAGAATCTTTGCTCTCCTTTTAAGGAAGAACATAAATGGTCAGTGATGTAATATAATTTAGCGTCTCAAGTGACTGAGACAGTCCATTCCCACGTTGCTCGTTCCTTGAATGTAGCCTTGAATGCTTTTAAAATGGGCCATTTATTTCGTTTTTCTTGATGCTGTGGGAAGTTGCATCCCTGGGCTGTCTCCACTGTGGATCCTTTTTTTATTATGGATATGAGTTATGCACCACTCGCAACCCTACATTTTTGTGGTGGTTTTACATGGCATTTTGGTTTTTTGTGTTCAAAGCACAGGTTTTCTCACAGCCATTTGCTGATTTCCTGGTGAGAAAATAATAATAATAATAATAATAATAATAATAAATTTTATTTATATCCCGCCCTCCCCAGCCGAAGCCGGGCTCAGGGCGGCTAGCAGCAATAAAATAATAAGGAATTTCTAGGACTTGCCTCAGAGGTATCCCTGTCATTACCACGTTCATTACCAAAACTCTCTGCTTAGACCAGTGAGGGAAAACACAGAACATGATTTCATACATGATTTATTAAGATCTGCACAACATTTGTGGTGCCAAGGGATCGTGACATTAAACCTGATAATAGCTCATAAAGAATAACTTGATGCGTTGGCTTAATCTCTCCCTGTTCTGTAATGACCTAAGATACAGCACACAAAAAAGGCATTATTCCTTTCCCAAGCACCAATCTAAACTGACCGAGAAGCATCCTTTCCAATCTCTCTAGGTATGGAGATTAGTCAACACAGCCACATTTGTGCATGATGAATAATCGATGATCGTGCCTGGCTAGGGACCACTTTGAGATGGTGAAACTTACCTTTGTTGTATGTTGTGGCAAGATCCAGAGAACCTTGAAGCTGGGATAGGTTTACTCATTCCATTCTTGCATCCACTAAATTTAATTTTTCAGCCACGACTGCAAAAAAAACAACAACTTATTTTCTGGCACTCCAGTGAAGTATGCAATTGGATCCAAGCCAGCAAGCTGACAGCTTTTATTTGATGTTGATGCCCCATATACAGGGGGCCTTTTGGCCTCCCCCTATCCTGATTTGAAAGTCCTCGTGAGGCTGCTGAGCTGAATGTTTTTCTGCCCCCGAGGATATCCTGAAGTCTGCTAGGAGAGCGTTCGGGCCAGCTCTCAATCTGACTATAGATCCCTCGTAATGGGTGTATAGGGATTTGATAAAGAGAGTGCTGAAAGCTATAATGCACAGTGCACACTTCCCATAATTATAAGCCACAAAGAAGCAAAGCCCATCTGCGATTAGCCGCAGGAAATAGTTAAACTCACACGGGAATAAACAGCTCAGCTTCATGAACTTTGGCTCTTAGAACCCACCACTTCTAAAGCATAGGCTTCTGCTTCTACTTTTTGATGATGTTAGATGTGATGTTAGATGCATGGAAGGGCACAATCCCACGCTTGCATCTAACATAACAACCCTTGATCCTCTGCTTAAAACACACACACAGCCCCCACACAGAACAGCGGGAGATGAGAGAAAAGAGCCACTGGTTGCTAAAAGGGGGAAAAAGTAACTCTTCAGAAATACCAGGTGTGTGGAACAAGATCCGCGCTGCCAATGAATACCATGAGTGAGCTCAACACACCAGACGGTCAAGGCTACTTGCAACTTTACTCCTCAGATTGTATTATTATTTATTATTATTATCCACATATAGGATAATAGTCGGGGGATTCAGTGGCAAGCTGCTGAGTAAATATGGGAGCTCTTGCACAACCTCAGCATCCCAGAGAGGCCTTTTCCAACCTCATGACCTCCAGACATTTTGGACTGCGTTGCTGATGAGACAGGATTTTTTTCTTCCAAAAACAGAAATATAGCATGTAAATTGTATATTTTCTTTGCAAAAGTGGCTAGTATGTCCCTGCACAAATAGGATTGTATGAAGTTATTCAAAAGCACAAGACATTACTGTATGGAGCGGTCCTAGCCAGGGGGCCTGTCAGCTAGCCATGTTCTATCTCAGGATATTGCATTCCATATCTGTGAACCCCACCCCCCCAATTTCCCAACAGCCCCTTTCAACTGTCAGCCTATGTTCCATGGCCATCAAGCATGTTCAGTCTCTTTTGGTTTCCTCCCCTTAACCCCCTCCCCCCAATATTGTTTCTACATTTGCAAGACTTGACGTGTCCCCAAGCCTGCCAATTCTTCCCTCCATGGAATGCCGCCATTTTGACTCCGTAAGAAAATGGATTTGCCTTTAGCGTATAGCAGGGATGTCCAACAGGTCGGTCACGGTCTACTGGTAGATCCCCACAAGGTTTTGGTAGATCGTGGTCGATCTCTGGCTCACTTTCCTTAGCATCGCTAAAACTGACTCCTGCCACACCTCACCACCCCACCCTCCATTGTTGTATGTCCCTTGCCTTTAACCCCCCCAAAAAGCTTTTTTTTAACCCCTAATTTTTTTCCTCCTCCCTAAAGAAAGTTGAACAACTTTGAGCTGAACCCTATAGAGGTAGATCACAGCTAGTCTTTAATTCTGAAAGTAGTAGATTGCAGTCTCTTGGGAGTTGGTCACCCCGGCGTATAGGATACTTTTACAGAGGTTCTGTCTGTTAACTACATTTCTAAGCCCCATAATTTCTTTTAAGCCCAGCAAGGACCTTCTTCCTGTTTTCTCCTGCAGAACAGTGAATGCTCCCCCATATTCTAGGTTCTAACACAGCAGAACTAGAACCAGTTTATACCTTAAGAAGAATCAAGTGATTCAAAGCTTAAAAAAGTATCACTTCAGACTTCAGGTAGGGTAACTGCATTTTTGAATGCTCCCCCATGGAGTCTGTTCTTGCACATAGGAAACTGACATGTCAGGTAAAATAAATGGATGGAACTCTTCATTACATATCTGCTTTGTAGATGCAAGGAGGTGTCTGGTTTTTTAAAGTGAACATTTTCATATTCATATATACAGCCACTCACCCTCGGCTTGAGACTCCTTCATTATCCTTGATAGTCTTTATATTTTATTTATTTTAAAATTACATTTATATCTTGCCTTTCCCCCAAAGAGCACAAGGTGATATGCACATGAATTTTCTCCTCTCCATTTTATCTCCACAACAACCCTGTGATGTCAGTTAGGCTAAGAGACAGTGACAGCAAATTTTCATGGCTGAGTGAGAATTTGAACCCAGATCTCCTGGGTCCCGCAGGAGATCTCATCCAGGAGGGTTCATAGAATCACAGAATTGTAGAGTTGGAAGCGACTGAGATATATGAACATCAAAACTAGACTCAAGGCATTCCTTTGGTCGGTTGTGTATTGCAAAAATCATTTGCACAGCTAGCTTGATTCTCGTGTTTTTGACACAGTGGGAACCTGGAACACAACCTCCATGACAACTCTCTCATCCTGTCTGTTCCCCTGATGCATGAAGTGGACTCATCCATCACTGGGTAAGTAGCAGGTCATCAAATGAGCATGTGCACGCGCACAAAATTCCTTATATTATTTTAAGCATCTCTTCTGGGAGGAAAAAGAAATACATTCTTTTCCTTGTTTACAAGTAAAGCTGGGGGCAGAATGCCTCTTTCCTCTGTACTAACTTCCCAGACTCTGAAAGGAGGACATGATGATAGGATTGTGCGTGTGTGTATTTTGCTTCAATCTTCGTTGCTCTTCCTCAGTGCAGAAACATTAGGCATTAATTACAGCACTGTAAACCACCTAAAAGAAGAAGAAAGACATTATTTCTGAGGTCAAATCAAATGTTTTGGTTCAGGCCCGCTAGACCAAAGGTTAGGGTCAAATGTTCTGGGATAGTACAGGTCACACGGAGGTCTTGCTATGAGCCTTTCTGTTTTATTTCACAGTCAGAATTCTGTTTATGCTTTCCCTTTTTTTGTAGGATAAAGGCACTCAAAGAGAAATAGATAGTTTAAAATGGCTATTTAGAAGGGGAGGCTATTTGTGCAAGAGAAATACAAAATGGGGCATTTTTGGGGCACTCAAATATGACCTCCTCTTTCTCTCAGAGTGGTCTCTCCCGGTTCTTTTGTTTATGGGGAGTCTGTGCCAGCATCTCAATTTATTCAGCTGGAAGATCTGGAGTGTCATTTTCAGGAGCTCAACGTCACACTTCAGGTAAGAATTAAGCACAAGGTATGTTTGTATTTGTGTGGGCTTTTCGTTGTGACTGGTTTTCCTATCAACAGGTCAGCATGCAAAGTCTTCCTGGCTTTATGGAGAAAGCTGCTAAGCTCTAAAAGATTTCGAATCCTATCTTCTGGCTAATCATTAGAGAAACCTATGGATTTTCTGTGGTGCTGCCGTACCCTCTGAATTACTCATTTGTTCAGCGGTGGGCAGCCTAGGGGCACTGTTCACTGACAGAGATCCTCGCCAGTGGAGACCAGTGAATCCAAGCCAGTGTGGAGGAAGAGATTCTTCCTCCTCATCTAAAACCTCTTCCAGGATGGTAGATTTGGGTTTTGGGTTGCTCTGAAAGTTCCTTCCAGCACAAGTTGAGCACTGTTAAATTTCATAGTAATAATAATTTAACAACAACAACAACATATTATTTATACCCTGCCCATCTGGCTGGGTTTCCCCAGCCACTCTGGGCAGCTCCAAAGGTAAAGGGTAAAGGGACCCCTGACCATTAGGTCCAGTCGTGGCCGACTCTGGGGTTGCGGTGCTCATCTCGCTTTATTGGCCGTGGGAGCCGGAGTACAGCTTCCAGGTCATGTGGCCAGCATGACTAAGCCGCTTCTGGCGAACCCAAGCAGCATACGGAAACGCCATTTACCTTCCCGCCGGAGCGGTACCTATTTATCTACTTGCACTTTGACGTGCTTTCGAACTGCTAGGTTAGCAGAAGCAGGGACCGAGCAACGGGAGCTCACCCCGTCACGGGGATTCGAACCACCAACCTTCTGATCGGCAAGTCCTAGGCTCTGTGGTTTAACCCACAGCGCCACCCGCATCCCAAACAGCTCCAAACAGAACACTATAAACAGAATAAAACATCAAACATTAAAAACTTCCCTAAACAGGGCTGCCTTCAGATGTCTTCTAAAAGTCAGATAGTTGTTTATTTCCTTGACATCTGATTGCAGGGCGTTCCACAGGGCAGGTGCCACTACTGAGAAGGCCCTCTGCCTGGTTCCACTGTTTTCAGAGGGAGAGATCTGAGCAAGTGACTAAGTATCCCCAGAGGATTTTAAAAAGAACATAACTTTGGTTGGATTATGATTATCCTGATTACGAAGAACATTTCCCAGATCCCAAAGGTTGCCTGAGCAAGTCCCTCTTTGCCCTTCGTTTCCCATCCAAACTAATCTTGGGTCCTTGCAGTGTGATAAAGTCTTTTTAGACACTAGCTGGAACTGCAGAGTGACAGATGGCACAATGACGGGAACTTGCAACTAGTAATATTTCATGCATGCCTATTTTTACCCTTTCCTCTTAAACACAATGCTTTTTCTTTTTTCTTTTTAAAAAAGAGTAACACATGCCTTCCCAGTATGGGAAGTTACTAGTTCACACCAGTTAATTCCTTACTGGCTGCTATTCAGTTGTTTGCTGGGAAAGAATGGGAAAAAAGTGTGTTCTCCCTTGGATTCCAGGATATTAAATATCCTGTGAACCATGCTGCTAACTTAGGCACTACGGTTCTAGAGTTTACATCAGGCATAGGCAAACTCGGCCCTCCAGATGTTTTGAGACTACAATTCCCATCATCCCTGACCACTGGTCCTGTTAGCTAGGGATGATGGGAGTTGTAGTCAACAAAACATCTGGAAGGCCGAGTTTGCCTATGCCTGGTTTACATCTTCGTCCATGTGATCTTCTTATAAGGAACCAAAAAGAGAACAAATGCCACATAAATGAAATGCTTTGACTGCTTGATGATTTGTTTATTTATTTATTTATTTAGGAGGAGAGCATCTAATTTAGGGCTTTGCCAGATTAATTTCGGGTGGGGAAATCTTTCTGGAAAAGCAACTTAACTCTACAGCTATTCACTTTTCTTTCAAGCTTTCTGCTACAAACTTTCAGCTGTAAGGCTGATGGGAGTTGTAGTCCTAAACATCTGGAAAGCACCAGGTGGGAGGAAAGCTGATGTGGAGTATAATAATAATAATAATAATAATAATAATAATAATAATAATAATAATTATTTATTTATTATACCCCGCCCATCTGGCTGAGTTTCCCCAGCCACTCTGGGCGGCTCCCAGTCGAGTGTTAAAACAATACAGCATTAAATACTAAAAACTTCCCTAAACAGGGCTGCCTTCAGATGTCTTTTAAAGATAGGATAGCTGTTTATTTCCTTCACATCTGAAGGGAGGGTGTTCCACAGGGTGGGCACCACCACCGAGAAGTCCCTCTGTCTGGTTCCCTGTAACCTCACTTCTCGCAATGAGGGAACCGCCAGAAGACCTTCGGAGCTGGATCTCAGTGTCCGGGCTGAAAGATGGGGTTAGAGACGCTCCTTCAGGTGTACAGGACCAAGGCCGTTTAGGGCTTTAAAGGTCAGCACCAACAGCTCGGAAACGTACTGGGAGCCAATGCAGATCTCTCAGGACTGGTGTTATGTGGTCCCGGCAGCCACTCCCAGTCACCAGTCTAGCTGCCGCATTCTGGATTAATTGCAGTTTCCGAGTCACCTTCAAAGGTAGAGCCCCACATAGAGCGCATTGCAGTAGTCCAAGCGGGAGATAACTAGAGCATGCACCACTCTGGCGAGACAGTCCGCGGGCAGGTAGGGTCTCATCCTGCGTACCAGGTGGAGCTGGTAGACAGCCGCCCTGGACACAGAATTAACCTGTGCCTCCATGGACAGCTGTGAGTCCAGAATGACTCCCAGGCTGCGCACCTGGTCCTTCAGGGGCACAGTTACCCCATTCAGGACCAGGGAATCCCCCACACTCTGCTTTATATGTATAGCCTGCTTTGCATGACATATTGAGCCAAACAATGGCTCCCTGGGACTGCACAAACATGCCAGCTTCCAAAGAGGAATTTGTACCTCCTTTGCTCCTCCTTGGTCCTTTTAGCTTTGCAGGGCAGCTTAGCTAAAGGTTTGGCTTAGTGTGCCATCCTTAACCACAAACTTTAGCCAAAAGCAAAGCTTTGCTCAAGGAGGAGGCAGCTCAGCTACAGTCGCAGGTTTGGACAACATGCTAAGCCAAACCGTGGTTTAGCCGCTGTGCTGTGCTGTGCTGTGCTGAGCTGAAAGGGCCTGGGAAGAGCCAAGTGCCTGCATTCACCTCCCTGCAAGGCAACACGTTCATGCGTTTGCACTAAACCATGCTTTGGCTTAGTGTTACATGTGAACGGGGTCACTGTATAATGTTTTGAGAGTAAGCAAAGCCTATGCAGAGAGAGAGAGCAGTGCTTCCTGAAAAAAATTAAAGCTTTTGTGGCCTTTCACGAGAATCCTCTCAAAATGGTTGTACAGTGGTACCTCGGGTTAAGTACTTAATTCGTTCTGGAGGTCCGTTCTTAACCTGAAACTGTTCTTAACCTGAAGCACCACTTGAGCTAATGGGGCCTCCTGCTGCTGCCGCACCACCAGAGCACGATCTCTGTTCTCATCCTGAAGCAAAGTTCTTAACCCGAGGTACTATTTCTGGGTTAGCAGAGTCTGTAACCTGAAGCATATGCAACCTGAAGCGTATTTAACCCGAGGTACCACTGTAATGGAGATTGGGTTCCCTTTGGCATGGATGATAAGGTGTTTAGAAATAATTCTTGATCTAATTTATGCCTTAACTCCATATGCACCTATTACACACACTGGCCTCCCTCTTACAGACAAAGAGTATGATATTTCACATGAATACTGGCAGTTTTTATTAAAAGGCTATGAAATTTTCTGCAGTAAAATGGTAAACAATAAAAAAGTTAGGTAAACCACCATTTTACCATTCTATATGCTCAAGTGTTTCTAACTCTCTTCAATTATTTTTATTAATAATGAAAGCAGATTGAAAGCAGCCTAAAGTTGGATATTATCATTGAACGTGTTGTTCCAATACATTATAACTCTTAAAAAAATATTATAGACTGATAAAAGTAATACAATTTGCTTAGAGAAAAGTTTTCTTTAAAAGTTTCTTTTTTAAAAAATAGGGGGGGGGGGCTTTCATCTCCTTTGTTGTGAAGATTCAAATACCCCTTTTCGTTTCTTATTACGCTCATGTCTCATTGCAGTAGAGTTCCCAGTTCATTTGTTTTCTGTTACATTATTCTTGCATCTCATGCAGCAGTTAGGCCTTATTGTAGCTGGATCCTTTCCCCCCTTTTAAGTGCCTCTGGGACATTGTAAGGGTTTGGCATTCTGCACCACTTCTCTTTATCATTCATGCATTCCTCAAAGCACAAACAATGTTTGGAGAATGGTCTAGATGTTTGGAAATTTAGAGTTAGCTGGAATCTGAACAGCGACATAGACTGCCGCATATTCAGAGACTGAATCTTAAACAAGAGAGGACCGTGTCTCATTGAGATTTGTTTATTTTTCAGAATGTAAATGTTTTGACTGTTGCATCTATATATAAGTACGCAGAGCTGGATTAACGATTAGGTCCAGTTTTCTATAGTGACAGACTCCAGACCCACTGATAACCCTAATGATCATCTTTTAAATGCAAAGTTGTGGCATACAGTCCTTTCTGTAAGGCCTTTCCCCTAGTTTTGGGATGCTAACAGAGCCAAGTGGTGATGTAAAGGCAGCTTGCACGTTCATACTTGGATCCTCTTTTCTATTCTTACTCTACATGTTTTAGGGCTGGGCATTGGTTGTGGAAAACAAGTTTTAGAACTGAACCATGGTTCAGATTTAAAGCACTTTTTGGTGTAACATGTAAATATCAAGGCACTACCAACTGGAGAGAAATCTCTGCTTTCTGGGCAGGTTCATCCATGCAGCCTCAAATTTAGATCGAGCTTCATAGATTCATAAATTTGCCTTGTGAAAGCCCCTCCCCATTCAACAGAATGGTGTGGTTTTTATGCCTTTATCATTGCTGCAATTTTATGTTGTGGTTCGAGGGCCCGACCCCCGCGAAGTGAAATGAAGACACAAGGACACGTGATATAAGGTTAATGGGCTCGAAAAGGCCACAACTTTATTGATTACAGCAATGAAAAGGTATTGGCTTAGGCATTGGATCGAAACAAGTGGGTTTATTCACCAGGGGTTCATCACCTGTTGATGCTAATCCAACTATAGGCTCACCCCTGCTGTCACCGAGGGTCGTGCCATGGCCTCCCGCCAAGCAGGCATCGGACAGAATACACGACCGCCAGATTCCTTTAACGGAATACCCCTAAAATTGAAGGCATAGGCGATGGCCACACCTAGCACTTCGACACACCACAACACATTATACCAATGCCTAACCGACCCACCAATACCACAAAAGTTGTGACGATTGCTACGAGGTAGGCGAAAAAACCAAAAAGCCTATTGCCAAATGGAAAAACTCCTACCAGGCCCCCCGGGCAACCAGGGTGACCAACCTAAGGTCCATAGCAAGGCCAATGACCTAAGCCCTAACTAAAAGGGAGTGGAGGGTGGGTGACTCGTGACGGGACGAGGAGGAGGAATGAGGCCAGGGAAAGGCTGGCGCTGCAGCAAAAGGCTGAACACGCCCCCACTGCAGCACCTGGTTGGGTGGCCACAGGGGGGGGCGTGAGCGCCAGCCAGGTGAGCTGGAGGCAGGGGGCAACGCCCCCTGCTGGGCGGTGCTCGGGCTCCCGTCCACAACCACTCCCCTCTCTTTCAGGGAGGAGAGTCTTTGTAGGTGAAGTTCATGCTCCAGTTGTATTTGGTTATTGGGAAGCCTATGCTGGTTCTTGGTGGGGTTTCTATGCTAGTTAAAATTAATAAAAGTGTGTCACAGGTTTGTTTGTTTGTTTGAAGGTCTACAATGCTGGCCCAAGCACACTTCCTGGCTCTTTCGTCGACATTTCGTTTCCGAATCGTCTCTCGGCTACTGGAGCTGAAATGTTTCACATTCAACAGATGATGGTGAGATCTTTTTCAAAGTCTGTTCTGTGTAGCGCCTGGAAGCTGCTCTTGGTGGAAAGGACAGTAACATAAGAGTTTGTCCCAGAGTTGGCATTTCAAGGAATAAAGTCGGTATTATTCTTGCAGTAGCTACTAAATTTAAAGCTTTGCTTTAAACTTATTTGTAATAGGGAATTTAGCCTGATTGTGCCTATTATGTTGAGCATCCAATCCTCAGTCAATAGCATAATGCAATGTTTTACTTCCCTTAAGAGATTATTGGCCCATTTCTATCCTCTTCCGGCTCAGTTTTTTAAAACTACTCCGTGGCTATTTTGAATGAAGGGTGGTAAAAGAAAAATCACTCAAAAATAATAATCAATTCTGTGACTATCTGTCAATGTGTGTCAGATATGCTATACTACAACCTTATTCTTTCCTGTTGATAATCAGTGGCTCATAAATGAGTGTTCTGTATTCATAGACTTATATTGGCCTCAACAGGGTCCATGCAGGAAACTAGGAAAAGACCACACGTATCTCCATTTCCCCAACACATTAGTGTGACAAAATCTTCCTTACCACTGGGCAAGATGATATAAAGGACCAAGCTACCTCCAGGGGAGAGAGCTTGTCCTGTTGTAATTTAGTCATCAATATATAATGGGTTAAAAAGAAAACTGAAGTTTCCCGTGACACTTCCAACAGTCTAGAATGTCAACAGAGTCTTGTGACTCCAAGAACTGCACAGTGGCATAACAGAAAGCTAACAGGCATGAGACAGGAGTTGGTAATGCAGAAGCAAGCTGGCAAGCTGCCGGCTAGCCCTGCAGAGGCTCCTTTTATTAGCAGAAGTCAACAATTGGAAACAGTAGTGAAACCACCCTGAACCTAACGTATTTCCATCTACACACATTTCCAGCGTTAGCAAATACACGTGTCAGCAGGTGCTTCCCTCAAATGTTCCTCCCGGTACTTGATTATGTCTCTGTTTTCCGCCATGCTCCAGCGAAGCGATATGTCTAGCAACCAAATTGTGAAAGGACAAAAGGTCAGGGGAAGGAGGCGTAACGCTCCTTGAACATACAGTTGCACGTCTGGTGCGAGGTTTGCCTTCGCAAAGCGGAGCGTTACCTCTACAACCTAAAAAACCGAGACCTAGATAATGTTGCTTGCTTCTGTGTAAAGTGTCAGTGTGTAGTCTGAATGGTTCATATGTGAATATGAATTAGCCGTCATAACCAGTCACAGTAAGTATTTTAATTTCAGTTATTGTTTAGTGTGCATTTACTATAATTATTTTTCCACACTTTCCATTCAACATTTCCTCCCCTTTTCTTCTATGCCTTTTTACATGAGGGACCTATTTACATTTATTCACATACAGTTCCTCATATAGTACAGGTAGATTTATAAATAAATGCTATCACCTGATGTCAACTCAAAGACAATGTGTTTTAACGGAGGCACTTCACACACATTTGGAGAAGAGTAATGGACGTGGGTGTGTATGTGTGAACCAACTCAAATTGGAAGAGGTTCCTTTGTTTCTTTAAAAGATTTATAATGTATTCTTTGAGAACATGCTTCACAAAACAGTTCACCTAAAAATCCAAGTACGATATAAAAACCTTTTAAAATATCCATTTCATAATAATACCGAAGCCTAAAAGCCAGTACAGAGGTAAACAATAAAACTCAGCCAGAACACAGTGTAGCTTCCCCACTTTATAACTCTAGGCTATGTTAACCATTGAAAACCATAGGGTCTTCAAGGCCTGCTCAGAGGACATAAGGGATAGGTCTTACCTAATCTCAGAAGGAATTGAGTTCTGTGTTTGCGAGGCCAACTTATTGAAAGCCCTAATACAAGTGATGGCCAGCCTAACGGTCTTCTCTGGCAGGTACCTAAGCTGGTTGTGGAATTTAGGTAGAATTTACTCACACCAATGTAACAGCACTTTGAATGCTTTACGGTTCCAAGACAGGGAAGAAGAACATAGAGCCAATTACTTTTAGGTGGTTTCATATCCTTTATGATAATGATAATGATAATAATAACAATAATAACAATAAATTTTATTTATATCCCGACCTCCCCAGCCGAAGCCGGGCTCAGAGCGGCTAACAACAGTAAAACGATAAAACATTCTAAAATTATTTCATTATAAAATTAATTCCAATCAAATTAATGGCAACCATTGGGCTAGAAGTTCTGTGAGGATTGCCAAAGGAGGGAGTCAGGCTGTGCCCTGGCCAAAGGCCTGGTGGAACAGCTCCGTCTTGCAGGCCCTGCGGAAAGATGTCAAGTCCCGCAGGGCCCTGGTCTCTTGTGACAGAACGTTCCACCAGATCGGAGCCACAGCCGAAAAAGCCTGGCTCTGGTTGAGGCCAGCCTAACCTCTCTGTGGTCTGGGACCTTCAAGATGTTTTTGTTTGAAGACCGTAAGTTCCTCTGTGGGACATACCAGGAGAGGCGGTCCTGTAGGTACGATGTGAGTACCTTAGGCCCAGTACTCAAGCTTTCATGGTGACAATTGAGCTCCTGTGCCACTCTTTGGTGGAAAAGGAGAAGACCCGGAGAAAAGTCCTTTCCTTGCATGGTCTTAGGTTTCATGTTGCAGGGTGGCAAAAAAAGGGGGGAGGGAGTTCCACAATATAACCGTGCATTAGCTTTACAATCACCTTTCAATTTCTCCTTTGACATATTTAGTGGAAAAGAGGAATAAAATTCCAAAACATTTTAGAGGTGCTTTAGGAGCAGGCAGGGGGCAGTCAATATCCTTTCTCAAAAGCCTCAGACTTTAGGGATGGGCTGGAAGTCACTGCTTGAATTGTTTTTCTATGACCATTTATCTAAAAATTCTCATGTTTTAAGAATCTACAAATGAGGAGGTGGAGTATGTCTGGGTCATAGTCTGAGAGACGAAAGAGTTCCCATCCGCTCAGAGGCAAGGCAAAATTCACTTCTCTGCAATGGCCTGACCTTCTGCTCTGTAGCAGCTGGAAATTTTCTTTATTCCTTGGCAATGCTCATTAGTGGCTCTGAAAGATTGATGTAAGCAAAATAATCTTTAATTGGAAATTGGTAGTGTAGTGCAGGCTATTTTGAGATATCCATCACATCGTATTCAAACGGGGCCTTTCGAGAGTTTTGTCATACAGTCATTGCCTAGTTGTTACTGTTTTACTGCCTGTGGCCTAGCTGTCTTTTCTCAAAGCCATGCTTTTGCTGTGGGGTGGCTGCATTTTCCCACCATGTTGACCTGCTGTCTTCTGCTATTGGAAAAATGCCATTCTCTTCCATCAATTACATTAGTTGGCGGGCAGCAGTTCCTAGATCTACTCTGCATCCCCAAATGGAAACCAGAGTTAGAGGTCATACATTTCTATTATTGGGGAATAATCAGGAGCTCACCAAAGTTAGCGGCTAAATATCTTTATCTGGCTTTTTGTCATCGAAACACATTGCAGACGTCTGATCTCCCTGGAGACCTAGAGATGTAATGTTAGACTGCTTTGCCTCTTTCATTTGACAAACGTTTTGTGTCACTTGGAAGGCGGTGTTGTTGTTGTTTAGTCGTTTAGTCGTGTCCGACTCTTCGTGACCCCATGGACCAGAGCACGCCAGGCACCTCTTTCCTCCACTACCTCCCGCAGTTTGGTCAAACTCATGCTGGTAACCTCGAAAACACTATCCAACCATCTCGTCCTCTGTCGCCCCCTTCTCCTTGTGCCCTCCATCTTTCCCAGCATCAGTGTCTTCTCCAAGGAGTCTTCTCTTCTCATGAGGTGGCCAAAGTACTGGAGCCTCAGCTTCAGGATCTGTCCTTCCAGTGAGCACTCAGGGCTGATTTCCTTAAGAATGGAGAGGTTTGATCTTCTTGCAGTCCATGGAACTCTCAAGAGTCTCCTCCAGCACCATAATTCGAAAGCATCAATTCTTCGGTGATCAGCCTTCTTTATGGTCCAGCTCTCACTTCCATACATCACTACTGGTGGAAGGCGGTAATTCTGTATTTATTTGCTATGGATGATGCCAATAAAAGGTTTGGTGATGATTAGTTGGTGTGGTATGCAGTGTGTTCACACAAGTGTCACAAATCCCTTCATACCTGTACATTCAGCCAGCCTTTCTTAACCTTGGGTCTTCCCTTCATTCCCAGCCAGCATTGCCAATGGTCAGGGATGAGGGGACTTGTAGTCCAGTGACATCTGGGACCCAAGGCTGGGAAAGGCTGTGCCACCCAGGTGATAACCTCTTTCCTGTTGTGCTCATCCTTCCCTAGTAGCTCTGATGTGTATCCGACTATCAAAGCCACAGAGCTAGGGATGGTCAGGTGGGTTTTTCCACCTGCCACAGGAGAAAAACATGAATCCCACTAGTGAAGCCCTGCCACAAATCCCCGCCCCTTGCCACAAGCCACGCCCCTTGCCACCCATATCATTTTCCTTCCTGAACCACAGTGAGCTCTGCCCCTTTCTTTGAATTCGGTGTGTTTCCTGTCTCCAAGACCGCATTGCACATCTCTACGAAGTTTCTCGAAAGCAAAATGATAAATGAGCATTGTGAAATCTGTATGCTTTCCTCTGTTGTGTAAATAGCAGCTTTGGGGGAGTGAGTTAGATCAGAAGAGCTGCATGATGGAAACCGACAGGATGGGAGGCTGTTGTGGGAAGGGGAGGGAAGGGATTGTGAGAGACTGTGGGAAGGAAAATGATGAAAGAGAAAGGGTGTATGTTGTGGAGACCGGAGGAGAAGACAAGGTGTGGTTCAGGCCACAAGGGTAATGGATTCATTAGCAGAGAGGGCTCAGAACTCCAGTTCAGGACATAAGGCTGCCCCCTGGGCAACCAAGGGTGGCCTAAGTCCTTTCCTACATGGAGTGATGGACAAGATGTCCCTGCCTAGTTCCATGTACTGACTGGTAGTTGACAACGCTGGTGATAGGGAAGCAAACTCCACCACACATGAACGCAGCGGTGGGGCACCAAAGTTCTGTCCTCCCGCCACCTGGTCTTCAGTCCTTGCCCCTCTCAGCAGCTGCCACCTGAGCCAACTGCCTTGCAATGCAACGGTATCGCTTCAGAACAGATGTGCATAACAAAAAGGTTGGGTAAAGGTGAGCAGCGCCAGTATTTGGGATGTTTGACTTCTTCAGTCACTGTTTAGGAAGAAGAATTGTTGAGTAAGCTGAATGAATAGATTATCCTGTGTCACATGCAGCAAGGAAACAGAAGGTTTGCTAGGATATCATGACTGTCAGAACAGCTACAAAGACCTCCGGAAGAAGGTTTCCCCCCTAAGTTTCCTGGCTAGGGAATTCCCTTCTGAAGAGGTTTTGAGTTTGAGAAAGAGAAGGTCAGCATAATTTTCTTGAGGGACTCTGAAAAGTGAGATAATTTCCCCTTTCTGCTATTGGTGTGGCTTCAACTCTGCTAGGAATAGTGAGAAGGAAGTTGGAAATGATTGATTACCGCTTTAAAAGGTAAATAGAGTTTCTAATAAGCTATTATTCACCACTCACCCTTTCTCTATATATAGTTTTAATAGCTTCTTATAATAGTTATTGGAATTGTACCAGTTAGAATTGGAGGGATGTATCAACACGGCACACGGTTGTAAGGAAATAGTTCATAAGGAGTTTGCTATCTCTTTACATAAAGTCCAATCAATATTCAGCAAGGTTATAATTATTTTGTTTGTTTGTTTCACCTCATTTATATAGCACTTGATTGTCATAAAACCTCAAAGTGAATTTTAATACATTTTAATACAATTGATTCAAGCACGTAATGTCCCGAAATTAATCAGCCCCCCAAAACAATAGTAATAAAAAAGATAAAGGACCATCATCTGAAAGAAAAAGTTGTGTAACACGGTGACTTTGGCAAGATTTTCTTGTAATGGCATTTTTTTTCTTGGTGATCAGAAAATATTCACAAATATTGAAAAACATGGAAATAATTTCTGTCACCTGACAACTTGAGAGCACCAGTCAAGTCCAAATGGAACCCTTCCTTGGATAGCTGTTTTCAAATTCAACAAACCAACATTTTGTTGTTGTTCCAAAGTCTTTCACTATTGTGAAACTTGATATTTTTAGTAAATCAAAGATTTTGAAATTTAATTACTTATTTCTACAAAGTTTTTAAAAGACTTATTCTCAGTAGAGCTCTTATAGCTGCTTTTAACAATAATAATACCATAAATAGTTAAATGCAATAATACTACAACACAAAACTTCGAAAAATCCACTGAAAAATCCAAAGCAAACAAAAAGCATTTCTCTTTCCAAATAAAAGCTGTTTCCCATCCAAAGTTAAAAGAGTCTGTCTTAAACTTAAGAAAGGTCAAATGTTCTCAGTAAGCGGTGATTGTATTTATTTTTTGGAAATATATTAAATTTATAGACCACCCTTCATGCATAGAACTCAGGGTGATTCACAGCATAAAAATACATTTTTATATATAGGGGGAGAGAGAGAGAGAGAGAGCATTGCATTTGAAATTAAATGCAGTTTTAAAACAGAGAAGATAACGAAGACACTGTTGTCAGGTTGGTTCTTCTTTAGTGGGGTACCAACTTCCATATAATAGAACACAAAAAGTTCTGCCATGCAGTGCAATCCTATATATGTATACTCAGGAGTAAGCCCACTGATTCAGTGGGGCAGTCCCAAGTAAGTGTATATATAGGATTGCAGCCTTCATCTGATGCCAGATTCTGAATGAGATGTGAACTGCCTGAAATTGCACGTACTCAAGGATAAAAGAGAGATGGAAGGAATTTGAAGGATAAAACTCTGCTTCAGCTCTGAACAATTTGTGACCCACAAAGCTGAAGAAAGCAAGCAATATATTGCTGCCTTAAGAAAACCACCTGCCATCCCCAGTATATTTATTCAGCCCCTTGTGTACCAATAATGGCTGGATCCATGTAACAGTTACTTGGACAAGTCCTACAAGATACTTTGCCCCATATCAAGTAGCACTTGGCATCTGTACAGTGGATAAATTACCCTCCTTTGCCACCAGAGAAAGGCAGAATGTAAGCACAACCTTGAATTTAAACCACGGAGTGCTTGAACAGAGGAATGTTACACGTAAACTTGCCGCTTGGATTCCATGTATGGTGGTGTTAACTGTAGACGTGAGCCTTTAGTGAGCCCTAAAATTAAATAAAACAAATGTTTCCCCTCACTGTTGATACATTGGATGCAATGTGTTTCTTCCTGTTCACAAACACTTGAATGTCTTTGTTAGCCATACCAAAGAGGGGCAGTCATGCCTTATTTTGGTTGCCACAAAAGTTCAGAGAAGTTTGACGTAGGTGTGAATTGACCCATTACAGTCATTTTTCTTCAAATGGGAGACCTTAAAAGGTTCCAGTATTGTTCAGAGAATAGTTATGACAAGGTGCCCTGCAGAAACTGGGGCTTTTGATTCTGATCAGTTCTAGCTAGCTATGAATAATGGTCAGGGATGATCGAAGTTGTAACATAGAGGTGGGCAGCACATTGGCTACTGCTTTCTATGATATTATGCATGCTGTTCTCTTAAGCTGCTTGGTACACCAATTTAGCATGGGCATTCCAAAAGTGCATAAACTCTTAAGTCTTTCTGAAAACAAGAATGTAGATTAGCAAGAAGGAGCTAGCAGTGGCCAGCTCATTGGCAGGGGAAGTGAAGGTGGCTGTAGCACTGCGTGTATGATAAGCAATGCCATCAGTGACCATGGATCAGCTGCAGGACACATGTTTGTTATGTTTGGCTGCTTGTGAAGCTCATGCAATTCTCTCATGGGTAGATAAGGACATAGAATGCTACTTTACACTGAGTGAGATCATTGCTCCATCTAGCTTTCTGGGGTTTCAGAAAGAGATTTTTCTATTTGGAAATACAAAGCACGTGGTTTCCTACTGGAGCTGTCTCCCCTTTCCCAATTCACAAGAGCACTTTGTGCACACTGAAAGGAAACGGGCAGAAAGGAGAAACATCACTTGTCACATCTGTTTTTGCAGCCTCTTGCCATGTGCAAAGCATCCCCTATTTGCTTGTTGTAAGTCGTAAATCTGTCCAGGAGAACAAACTGTCTCCGCATTTGGAGAGGCTGTGTACAGCTATTTATTTTGCAGTGTCCACTTTTGAAAGAATCCTCCACTTAAAAAAGGGATGTGTGTGTTACAAGTTACCTAGTTTGTGGACTTGCACTCCAAATACGTCAGGAAATACTTGTTAAAAGATACATGCCAAAAACAGCTCTGACAACTATTATAAGATAAAACATTTGACAAGTCACCGAGGTCAGCATACTAGGGAGCTTGTGAATAAAGCATCTGTTTTAGGGGCAAACAGAGTCAGCTGATTCATATTCATCTCAGAAGGGTGCCTCTTGAGAAATTGCAATTTGTCATTCACAAGCACTCTGCTACGTTATTCCAGCTTGCTCAGCACTGCTAGGAACAGGAACAGTCCTGCAGAAACTTCAGAACAAGGGTACCTTACATCTCCTATCAACCTCTAATCATGGACCATGCTGACTGGGAGTGATGGGTGCTGTAGTCCATAATATCTAGAGGCCATCCATGATAGGTGTGTGCATGTTTGCTCATGTGCAAGTGCAAAAATGCCACATGCAAAAAAAAAAGGTTGGTGGGAGAGCATGGAATGGTTGGGAAGAAGTAACTGAGAAACCATTATTGAGAAACAAAGAATATACAAAGGATGTGAATGCAAGGGATATTCCCCAAATTTCCCGCTAGTTACTTGGTTTTGTTTCTGTAATACCAAACTGGTGTGGAGTGAGAATGGCGACTATACTGCTCCTTTAACTTAACAACCATGGAAATAAATACTGCTTGCTTCCAAATAAAGGCATTTTAGAACTTACCAGTCACTAAGATGGAAAGGAAATAATTGGTTCTCAGTAGGCAAAATCCGGTAGGATTGACAATAGACAATTTTCTATTTCCATTCATTGCTGTTAATATATGTAAGTAAGGAAAAGCATATAAGAAACTGGCAGCCCTTGCAGGAGTGGTCTTGTGTTTCATTTTTTTCCTTGTTGCCCATATGGGAAAAGTATGGTTCCCCCCTTTTATTTCTTTTTTTAAAAAATCTAAATTAATCTAATGGAAAAGGTGGTGTATTTACAAAAGAGGGTAAATCAATTATTTTTGTGTTGTTGTGACCTTTCTTTAGGTTGCCCAGGACAAAGGAAACTGCTCTTTTCAGAAAAATCCAACCCCATGTGTCATTCCTCAAGAAAAGGAGAACATTTTCCACACAATATTTGCCTTTTTTACCAAATCTGGGAGGAAAGTATTGGTAAGAAACTAACTTCATTTTCGACTTCTGAAAAGTCAATTGCCATATCCCAGAGCCTCGTAAATGCATGGGGTACCCACTACTCTTACAGCTAAAAGGGAGCACATTGAGTTAATGTCCATAACTGTCAGTAGAGAATCCTTGTCTTTATCCATTGATCTGATCTGCTATATCATTGCCCACAACCCAGAAAAGATTTGCTACAAAAGGAAGAAGATAGTTCACTGATGTGTTTGCCAAGTTGACATTCCACTGTGTGAAAAATGGATGTAGAAAAACATAATTATGCCTATTTTTCATGCATTCTCACATGCAGCCTTAAGTTTAGGTTCTAGCACGTGGGTAGGCAAACTAAGGCCCGGGGGCCGGATCTAAATCTGGCCTGCGGACGGTCCGGGAATCAGAGTATTTTTACATGAGTAGAATGTGTCCTTTTATTTAAAATGCATCTCTGGGTTATTTGTGGGGCCTGTCCGGTGTTTTTACATGAGTAGAATGTGTGCTTTTCTTTTAAAATGCATCTCTGGGTTATTTGTGGGGCATTGGAATTTGTTCATATTTTTTTCTTCAAAATATAGTCCGGCCCCCCACAAGGTCTGAGGGACAGTGGACCGGCCCCCTGCTGAAAAAGTTTGCTGACCCCTGTTCTAACACAATGCATACAGCCAGTAATTAGAGTAATATACTGTGATGAAGCAATACATGATCCTTGAAAGGGGAAACAGGTTTGTTCCCCTTTTGATAATCCACAGTTGAAATACCTGCATTAGATATCCTTTATCCAAAATATTTGAAATCCAGACCTGCATTATTGTTGTTGTTGCTATTTTAAGGTGCCTTTATTCATCTCATTGCTGTTAAGCGAGTCACATTAGACATGAGCAGCTTGCACATGGTTGAGACAGATCATTTGAATTAGCAAGGGATTCAGTCAACCATAGAAATATAGCATATTCTGCAGTTGCTCAAGACTGGTCCAGTTCCTAAGACAGGTCCAGTTACTGAGTATCTCCAGCTGACTTGCAAATAGTCATACTGGGATCCATAGAAAACATTAAGAGACGACAAAAACATTGGGGGGGAGGGAATTATTATTTTTATGTCTGACGGTTTTGGAGAAAGGGTTATCAAGAAAGAAGGAAATCAGCAATTGGTGGAACAATCGTTCTGCCCGGACACTGAAGTCCAGTGCCGAGGGCCTTCTGGTGGTTCCCTCGCTGCGAGAAGCCAGGTTACAGGGAACCAGGCAGAGGGCCTTCTTGGTAGTGGCACCCGCCCCGTGGAACTCCCTCCCACCAGACTTTTAGAAGACATCTGAAGGCAGCCCTGTTTAGGGAAGCTTTTAATGTTTAACAGACCACTGTATTTTAATATTTTGTTGGAAGCCGCCCAGAGTGGCTGGGGAAACCCAGCCAGATGGGTGGAGTATAAATAATAAATTATTATTATTATTATTATTATTATTATTATTATTAAACATATTCTTTTCTACTACTGTCCACTGTACCACCAGCTACATAAACACATGTTATAATCAAGGCACAATGAAAATATCAGATTCTATCTGTCTATTATTAACCCAGTTTCTGTCAATAGTATCTCTTAGAGTGGTGATTGGCACAGTTTAGCAGTAAGACACTCCAATGAAAATTTCTGTTACTGTATATGGTTGTTTCTTTATATATATTTTAAAAAATTTGTATAGGTCTAAGATGGTCTATATCTGTAATGCCTAATAAAGGTTTGGAGAAAGAAAGGAAATCTGCGAATCAGGTGGAGGCCAGCTCTCCTTGGGACATCTGAGATTCATCACATACATAGTGGGGAGTTGGCTATTAACACTTGTCAACAACCCAGTGAGATGGTACAATTGACATGTGAACAATCTTCTCACGGGGTTCCCATCAAATGGAATTAATTAAGGAGAAACACAATCTTGTGTAATGGGGGTGTTCTTCTGTAGTGGAATAGATAGCTTCTGGGCAAGGATAAGGTTTCCTAAAGGGACAGGAGTTAGCTCTTCTGTTACGTACAACATTTAGAGAGAGAATAATATTGGTGGATATTTTTAAAAAGTAGAGATAGTATTTCAGTGGATGATGCAGCCTTAAGAGGCCATGAACCTTATAATGCAGGACTTCCATGACTGGATCTCCTGATGCTCTTTTCTTTTCCTTAAACCAGCCATGGGAACCCTATAATTTGAATTGTGGCTGTACGGCAGTAAGAAGAGCAGTTAACCTTTCCCCCTTGTGCTGATTCCCCAGTGCCTCTAGCAGAAAAATAAAGATGTCAAGAATCACAGATCTCCCAAATCGCATGTATTGTGACCCTTTGCAGTACCATCTTATGCATGTTTACTCAGAAGTCCCACTATGTGCATTGGGTTTGCTCCCAGGAAAGGGTCCATGGGACCAGCGTTAGTATGATTTAAGATGACACACTACAGCTTTTGGATTGTAGTGCTTGGATACCCGAGACTCAGATGCAAGCTGGCTAGTTTCTTTACTGTTTGGGAACAGGCTCTAAACTGAATGATAAAGCTGTTCATTCAGCTGATCAGCCATTTCAGCTACTTTATTCAGTTAATTTATTCTACAGTGCAGCAAAAGTACAGAAACAGCAGAATCTGTTTTATACCAAATCAGATTATGGACTCGCCTAGCTCACAGTTATCAGCACTGACTGACAATGGCTCCCCCGTAAAATATATCTTTATCCACCCAGGGGTGCTGAAGATTGAAACTTCATTTATTTAAAGCATTTTTATCCTACTCTTCAGCCAAGAAAGGATCCTAGATCCACAAGCATAAGTGATGCTGCGCTGAGCTAAAAAGTAGGACCTTGTTTGTATGAATAGTTGTTGCGCCACCTGGGATCTTTCATAGGGAGATCTGTACCAGATTGTCTATGACAGAGACAGAGAAGCTTTCCAGCCGAGCGGGCCAGATCCTGGCCTCCCCTACCCCGGGGGGCCTGTGTGACAGTCACTTGTTCCTACAATTCTCTAGGATACGTTTCTAGAGAAGTTGGACAGGAGTTACGAAACCAGGGCTGATGTTACCCATCCAGTCAGAAGGGCCAAAGAGCATTTCTTTTAATTTTGGCACATTTCCTTACTTGTCTCACAGCTTTCTACTTCTCTCCCTTAGGACTGCGAAAGACCAGGCAGGTCCTGCCTAATTATACGCTGCAACTTAAGCTCACTAGCTAAAGCGGAATCACGCAGCATAGATGTGCATATGCTGTTGAATACCGAGATATTGAAAAAGGTGAGCATCGTTGCCTGAATTATACTCTTAAGGTGCCTGTACATGATCCGTCACACTACGGGAATTACGATCGAATTATCTGGAATGGTTCCTGCAAACATAAGTGGAATGCGTTTTAAATTTGTACATATTTTCATGCCTCCCATCGTCCGACTTCTGAACGCTGGATGTGAACGGGATGGGAAGTTGATAAAGCAAAAGAAAAAAAAATACATTATGTACAGTGGTACCTCGGGTTAAGTACTTAATTCGTTCCAGAGGTCCGTACTTAACCTGAAACTGTTCTTAACCTGAAGCACCACTTTAGCTAATGGGGCCTCCCGCTGCTGCCATGCCGCCCCACGTGATTTCTGTTCTCATCCTGAAGCAAAGTTCTTAACCTGAAGCACTATTTCTGGGGTAGTGGAGTCTGTAACCTGAAGCGTATGTAACCTGAAGCGTATGCAACCCAAGGTACCACTGTATTGGAATTATATGTGAAATCTATGAAAAAATAATAAAATATATTTGATTCCCACCCCCCCCCTGTTGATGGGGCAGCACCCTCCACTGCACCAGAGGTAACGGCGTGGGGGGTGGGGCAGGCCAAGCCATGTAATAGACACAATTCTGCCCTCCAGTAGAGAAGGAGAAGAAGAGTTTGGACTTTATCCCGCCTTTCACTCCCCTTAAGGAGTCTCAAAGCGGCTAACAATCTCCTTTTCCCTTCCTCCTCCACAACAAACACTCTGTGAGGTGAGTGAGGCTGAGAGACTTCAGAGAAGTGTGACTGGCCCAAGGTCACCCAGCAGCTGCACGTGGAGGAACAGGGAAGCGAACCTGGTTCACCAGATTATGAGTCCACCGCTCTTAACCACTACACCATGCTGGTGTAGTGGTGTATTCCTGGAGTTGATAGGAATAGCAACTGCTGCCACCATATGTCAGGGGCGTTGCCTCACTTTGCCCAATGGTAGGGTTGGCCCTGTGTGGGGTGGTACACAACACACCCTTGGATTATGTAGTTGGTGCCAGCGGACTTTGGTCCAAGTGTCAGGTCCACAGTGCACATTTAGGAGCCCCCTTTGACCATAGACACTGTGTAGGTGAGAGCCGCAGGGTAAAAATAATTATTATAGCCAGGAGGAAATAACAAAGAATATTATAACTCCAGTTGTGTTTTCTAATTTGCCACTATGGTCCTGCAGTACCATGTAACAGTCATGTGATTAGGATGCTGTAATTCTTGAGGGCATAGGAGGCAGTTTTATTTATGTATTTCATAAAATTTATTCACCGCTTGATTGTAACCTCAAATAATTTGACATTCTAGAACCGTTGACTTAAAAAGGTTACTGGCTCCTTGTGTTTAGACTCCTCATCCTCAGACTTTTCACAGGAAACACAAGACTAATTCACTTTTGCAGAAGAAGAATTAAAAAACACACACCATCATACACATATTTAGGCTTTTTTTGCAGTGAGTCATGTCAGGATTTATTTTGATAATGCAATGTTTTAACCAGTACTGTGTGCAACTGCAATTTAGTAATTGTATCTAAATATCTGTTCCTAATTATGTGGAAGTAATTCAGGTTAAGATGTTCTTTGCTGGTGATGTTTGGCAGTGTGTTGCATTCTTTTAATTGGGCGATGTATCCGGACTGAAGAGCTTTTTACCCAGATCAGATCTGAGTTTGAAAACAAAAAAGAGGACCATATATCAAATTTAATGGGATGTGTTGGATTTAAATCTGGATTATTGGACCTTTATGGACCTTGCATCTGATTTGAGGCCATAAAAGAGCTGGTGCTTAAAAGTCTTTGAAGGCTGTGGAATTGACAGAGTTACTCAACTTTTACTGTTTTTTTCCAATCCTTAGGACAGTTCATCCGTCATCCAGTTTGTAACAAGGGCAAAGGTGAGGGTAGACACAACTATCCGGGCAGTAGAAGTACCCAATGGGAATTCAGAAGATGCAACAGTAAGTGAATGAATCTGAAGAGCAAGGATTACTTGTGCTGCTCATATGGAATGCATTAGAGAATCCTACACTGAGCGAGGAATTTGTGGTCAAGCCTAAGCTTCGACTTCAAAAATGAACGAGCGTGCCTTTCTTTGAATGCAACAGCGGCGCTGCTGCCTTGCAATCCTCCTGTGGTTTTGCTTGCTGTGATAAGCTTTGGCCCTGTAGCAAATGATGCTATTTGGAATACTTTAACGCACGTTGTGCTGCAGTTAGACCGGCTTGTAAAGGCCTCAGCTGTGCCTTTTGCTAAGCAGTGAGTTCCGTTTCACACTGTTGAAGCCTGCTTTAATCTAAAAATTCAGGTTTTTCAAAATCTAGGAGATGTATCCCATTCTGGATTTATCAGAATGGGATGATAAAATGCACACAATACAATCCTGTGCATGGAATCAAGGAGTGGTGCGTGGTCATTGGACTAAAGGGACTAGACTAGTCACCTAAATGTTCCCCTGGTGCCTCCTTCCCAAAGCTTCTACCTGGCTTAGGGAGGGAGGCGCGATGCTCATGTATGCGACGTCAGGACATTGCAGTGTCACACGCATGACATTGATGCCCCTCGCAAGCCAACGCCTCTGGCCCTGTGAAAAAAATCACAGCACGCTGCTGGAAGCAAGTTTCATTGTGTTCAGTTGGGTTTGCTCCATAGTAAGTGTGTTTTGGGCTGTTACCTTAAAAGTTTTTATAACATTGGGGCTTAAAAAGAATAGGCAAGAAGGTACAGTAATTAGGACAGAAGATACTCCTTTATCTGCCATGACCCTTTCTGGCTCCAGGTGTTGTTGCTTATATGCCACATGGTAAGGGCATGTACAACAAAGCCAATGGCCTTAAGGAGAAGGAGAATCTTTATTACAGTGGTACCTCGGGATGCGAACGGGATCCCTTCCGGAGCCCCATTCGCATCCCAAATGGAACGCAAGACGCGGCGGCGTGTCTGCGCGTGTGCGGGTCGCGTTTCGCCGCTACCGTGCAAGCGCATGACCTCATTTTGAGAGTCTGTGCACGCGGCAAAACCCGGAAGTAACGCACTCCGTTACTTCTGGGTTGCCATGGAGCGCAACTCGAATGCTCTCAACCCAAAGCGCATTCAACTCGAGGTATGACTGTACGGCCAAAGGCCAGCATAAGGCCAGAGGGAGGGAGACATAGAGAGAGAGAGATGCTTTAGGAAAACGCAATTTAGAATACAGAAGTAGCAGGGATAAGGCGATGTGCTTCTTTGCTCTGAATTGGCCCTGCATGATGCTGATTTGCTTGCTTCTTCTCTGCTCCAAATCGCCTCCCTCCCCCCAAGCCACGTTTCTGCTGCAGGGTTTCACTTGTGTTTGTGGGACTAATCACACCTTTGAAACCCCACAGAAGAAAGGTGGTTTGTGGATACACCTTTGAAGGGGAGTAGTGAGCGAAATACCCGCACACACGCCGTTCCTCAAAACCACCCCTTCCCAAAGAGCCTGTTTGCTTGTAATATTTAGTAACACTTAATTTGATGCTAATTGTGCCACTTTCCCCTCTGCTTATTCCCTCTCAGTATTCGCCATTTGTAAAGCATGACCACAACCCTTTGAAATCCCTCTAAAAGCAGCTTGCATTCTCTGCATGTCATAGAAGGATTGTGTGGAAAAACCCATTCTGGCTTCATTGGATTAGATAGTGAACATCTTTGCTAAACGTTGTGTAAAATTATTTCCAAGCTTCCTGATACTGGCTGTCACACCAATCCTGAATACATTACTTGGAATTGCTTTCAGTGGAACATGATTCCAAGCAAATGAGGTTGGGATCACAGCCTAGAACAATTTGGCTGCCATGTTGAATGCATTCTAGGAATTTAGATCCACAAATCCAATTAAATTGGACGAAACCAAGAATTAGAAGCATCCCCAAAGATTTAACAATCCTAAATGTCTTTAGAGATATTTCAGACTAGAATTTATCACACTTTGAATCAGGGCTGGCCCAAGACATTTTGGCACCTGAGGCAAACCACAAAATGATGACCCAACCCCGCCAGGAAAGAATATATACAACAGGGACAAGGGGGCAGATCAGATCAGTCTTATCCAACAATGGGAATCAAAGGGGAGAAGGGCCCCACTCTGAATCACATGGAGGGAGACCCCAGAGGGCAGCCCTCACCATTTCCTCCCTGTGGGTGGGAGGAGACCAGAAGCACCTCCTGTTCATTGAGAAGCCTGATGTTTGGCCCTCCAGATGTTTGCACTACATCTCCCAACTTTGGCCCATCAGCCAACATTATCTGGAGGGTCAAAGTTTGGAGTTGGTAATTCTCCAGAATGATAAGTGTAATCAGAGCGGATTGTTCCCAGTTGTTCCTTACTGCTTTAAAATGACTTTTTCCTACTGCCCAAAGTGGGATTCTAAAAAAAAACATTTTGGGTTACAGTTGTTACAATTTCATCTTAACGTTGTAAAAGAAAGAAAGAAAGAAAGAAAGAAAGAAAGAAAGAAAGAAAGAAAGAAAGAAAGACACAGGCTTTTGGGAAGCACTGGCTGGAAAAGGACAACTTGGACAGAATTTAGTTTTGAAGCATCAGTTTGCAATCTCAATCTTTTCTAAAATGAATGTTAGCTTTTAATCTTCGTCCATGCAATTTCCATATGGCTCTTGGCTTCTCTGATATTGAATGCTTTGTGTTGGGTCATATTCAGGGGAAAAAATGTAAGACATGTGGTTTGGCTCACAATATTCATTCTTCTCTCTCTCTCTTTCTCCACCGCCGCCCCCCCCAAGCCATGGGAATGCAGGAGGAAATAATGCATATTGCAACCACAGTTATTCATACATAACAAATTTTTGGGTTGTCTCCTTCCTCTTCCTTCTGAAACGGCCCCCTGTCAGTCCCCCCCTTTTTTACTTTTGAGTAGCATCAATTCCTCTTCCCTATACCTCTCTTTGAGCTGTGATTTAATGGACACGGACGTGAAACAGCTGATGAGATTTCTTACCATTGAAAATAGTGTTCCTGGGTTTTCCACACTCCTCAGTGTTAAAAGTCTTGCATTTCAACAGTAGGGTAGATTGGCTTTTTTTACTCGTAAAACCACTTAAAATCCTAGTTTGGCCTTAAGAGGTATATAACTTATTATTATTTATAATAGGATTAACTGCCACTTGGTGGAAATACCAAGCAGGGAGAGTGCTGTTGCACCCTGTCTTGCTTATGGTCTTTCTGGGGGCATCTGGTTGAACACAGAGAGAACAGGACGCTGGATTAGATTAACCTTTTTCTGCCATGCTCTTTTTGTGTTCTTATGGAAGCTCACTTCCGACAGCAGGTGGGGTCTCATGAGGGAAAATGCTCCATAAGATAATACCACGTTCATTTTCTGTGTGGAAGGAATTGACTCAGTGTAAAACAGCTTCCTGTACTCCTGTAATTTGTGGCTGTACCTCACCAGTGTCCCAGATATGAGCCCTGTATAAAACTGAATAGGAATAATTGTAAAAACAAAAAAACAAAAAAACAACAACAGTAGGGTAGATGTCACAAACTGTTTTAAAAAGCAATTTATAAGAGAATCCTAAACAACTGTCTTACATGTGTATTATGATTTTCACACAAACCCTTGTTTATCCATATTGATAAAAATGGGCTGCACCTAAAAAAGATGGTTCTAAACAACTGTTTGAAATGTTTTGTGCAGATAGAGGCACATGTTGCCATCTAAAACTGAATTCAAGAGGAGGCATGAGAAGCTCATATATTTTAGCTTTCCTAAGGCAAGAGCTTCTGTTTCTAACTTCATGCTCAGCATACCTTAGCTGCAACACATGCATACAGGTAAACTAGCATCCTGATCATAATGCGGAAAGTGGCAGAAAGCTACATGTGCAAGTCAGAGATGTTTGCTCAGCATAAGAAAGAATGTGGTAAAAGGATCCCATCCAGATGGCACTGGTTTATGATCCAAGCCGCATGCCAAAGAGGAAGGAAATTGCCATATTTTTCTGTGTATGAGACGCCCCCTATTTTGGGGGACTCCACATTAAGAAAACACCCCTCAGCACTACCCGTGTATAAGACGAGCCCCAATTTTAAACCTAGTTTTTTGTTTAAAAAACCTAGTCTTATACACGGGAAAATACGGTAGTTACCCAGCTAGGGTGCTAGCCAGTCCATTCTCACCTCATCTATAGGGATGCAGGTGGCGCTGTGGTCTAAACCACTGAGCCTCTTGGGCTTGCCGATCAGAAGGTTGGCAGTTCAAATCTCCGCGATGGGGTGAGCTCTCGTTGTGCGGTCCCAGCTCCTGCCAACCTAGCAGTTCGAAAGCACACTAGTGCAAGTAGATAAATAAGTACTGCTCCGGCAGGAAGGTAAATGGCGTTTCTGTGCGCTCTGGTTTCCATCACGGTGTTCCGTTGTGCCAGAAGCGGTTTGGTCATGCTGGCCACATGACCTGGAAAGCTATCTGTGGACAAACGCCGGCTCCGCTTAGCCTGAAAGCGAGATTAGAGCCGCAACCCCATAGTTGCCTTTGACTGGCCTTAATCATCCAGGGGTCCTTTACCTTTACCTTTTACCTTTACCTTACCTCATGCAGGATGGTAATTGTGTGAAAGATTATTTATCTTTGTGTTATAAGTATCACATGAGCAACATATTTCTCTTCACTTAAATATTCTCTTCCCTTCCTCCTTTGTAAACACAGATTACCTGCTTTCATGAACAACTGTATATTTAAATGTATAGCAATGGAGATGCTTAGGTTTCCTGCAAGTTCAATGAAAAAAGGGTTGGATCTAACTTGCACTGAAGCCCTGTGAGTGTGTGACTATGACAGTGTGAGGAGTTAGTCATGACCAACATGAGTCTAATTGGTTTCAGTGAGAACTAAGTGCAACTAACTTACTTCGGATCCAACCCAATGAGTTTATTATTACTTCTTGCTAATAGTACTGCACGGGAGGGCACTTACCTAGCCTCCTGACAGGTGAGTCGGTACTGATGACCAGGAGGCAGAGAGGGAGGGACAAGATGGTGGGGAGATCAGTGCTGTGCAAACACACCATCAGGAGTGCCATACTGGCCCTGCCTGTGTCCTTGCCCAGCACCAACCTCCTTGCCATCTTGCCCCTCTCTCTCCTGGTCACCAGTAGCGACCCACCTGTCGGAAGGTTTGACAAGTGCCACCCTTTGCTACTGCTTAATAATAATAAATAAATTTTATTTATACCCCGCCCTCCCCAGCCAAGACCGGGCTCAGGGCGGCTAACAACCAATAATAAAAACAAGTTGATTAAAATACAACTTAATAAACAAGATTAAAAGACAACATTAAAAACATTAAAATGCAGCCTCTTCACAGGAGGAGAAAGGAAAAAAAGAAAGAGGGGGAGGGAATCAAATTGACTCCAAGCCAAAGGCCAGGCGGAACAACTCTGTCTTACAGGCCCTGCGGAAAGAAATCAGATTCCGCAGGGTGCTGGTCTCATGAGACAGAGCGTTCCACCAGGCTGGGGCCAGTGTTGAAAAGGCCCTGGCTCTGGTTGAAGCTAATTGAACTTCCTTAGGGCCCGGGACCACTAGGGTGTTGCTATCTATGGACCTTAAGTATGAGACATCTGTCAAAGAGCAGTGGTAAATATACATGCTCCTGATGTATGGCAACTGTGGAAACGACCTGTCATTCACTTTAAATTAGAAACCAAAGTGGTTGTTACTTTCCCCGAAATGATTTTTGTGGTCACTCTGTGTATGGTTCCATTTGGAAAGGCAATCTTCTGAAGGGGTCCAGCAGGCATTCTCCTCGTCACAGTGCCACCAGCCAAACCTCACTGTGAATTTATTTCTAAGCAAATCCCGGGGGTGGGGTGGGGAATAGTCATTTAACTCCAAATTCCCCTGGAAGGGCCCTTTTAGTGTAGCGTGAAATGCAGAATCTAAATAAATTGCAGCAAGAGCTTTTCAATACGTTGAGAATTGTAAGAGCGAAATAATGCTGGAATTCAAACTGCATTCTAAAATGGATCCAGTTTTGCGCTCAGGTTCTTGGGCATCTGGCTCAAAGCATGAAAAATGAGTCTCTGATTCACTCCACGTTTTTATAACCCTTTTATTTCAATTAGGCCCACAGCCTTTTCCCAACCCAGTCTTCCTTTCTCCTGTATCAACCATAATATATGTTTCGCCGTTGGAGATCACTCAGATCTAAGACAGCGCTAAGTACAAGGAGATGTTACTGCTAAGCTAGCCAAGAAAGGCAAGACCAGGATTTGCTCTTTAACAGATTGTTAGCTAGCGAGGAAGATGTAAGCGGTTCAAGAGCATGGCGTCTGGCTGGCACATTTCCTTTTCACCAGCATCCTTGCCAACACCTGGGGAAGATGAATTGCTTCCACTTCTTCATGCTTTCAGTGGCCACGTCATGATGCATGTTAGATCAAAACCCTTTTTGTTATTTTCACTGGAGCTGATAGATTGTGCTTCTTAAAAACGAAAGAAATATTTATAAAAGTGACATCCTTTCTTTTCTGAAGTCTTGCGCTGCTGGAACAGACCAAGATCCATTTAGTCTAGCATTCAGACAAATTTCTCTAGCATTCAGAAGCAGGGAATGAAGGTTTCGGCCTTTGTCTTTGTTTGTTCCCAGCACTTAGTATCCAAAAGTATCCTGACTCTCTACATAGAGGCTTTTTTTTTAAGCCATTGTGGGTAATAATTCAATTGATAGAATTGAATTTTAATAGAGTTTAATTTATAAAATGATCTAAGTGGCTACCATTGCATCTTTCTCATATTGTTTTATTGAGGTTAGGGATAAAAAGAACATCACAAATGCATAAAAGCAAGAATGACAATAATATTTTAATAATAGATCCCTCCTACTCCATTACTAAAAAAAACCCCCAACCATCCCATGCCCGGCAAATATTATATCAATTTACACTACAATTGTTCTGATTCAACTACTCTGCTCAATAGTGGCACTGCGTAACGGCAACAGAGTCAATTCCAGTTGGCTTTACAGTCTAAGTCAAAGCCTGTCTTTAGCTCTTTCTTCTTCCTTGGCATATCCTTGGGTGGTATTTGAGTCCATGCCTGTGAAACCATAATATTGTGTTCCAACAGGAAGCTTGTATACAGGAGTATTGAATGATTTTGAGTGATCTGATTTCATTTTCAATTTGAGAGCAGGGAAAAATCATCACTAATACGTATGGGTCTACTTTGGAAGGTTATATCTGGAAAAACTCTCTGGAAAAACGAGTCTGCTGGTTTGAGTAGATTGCTGGAAGGCAGATATGTATTGCTAACCCCTGATCAGCGGATACATACATTGGAATATCTTTCCAAGTAGGCACAAATGACATATAGACATTTTGCCTTGGCTGTTAAATAATATCAACAATAATAAATGACAATAGTAGTAGTTGCATTAGTAATGGTCTTTAGTACCAACATACCACTTAGGGAATCCAGCCAGTGCAAAATTAACAGAAATGCTGTGAAATAATGCTTTGCATTAATGTATAGCTCATGGACCTTAAGACTATATTACTTAATCATGCCTGGAGGGTTGGTGAATTTGATTTGACCCTTTGGCCTGGGAAGGTTACACTTCTCAACGCTTGAAGCTTTGCTACCAGATGACTGGTTTCAATGAAAATTGACACATTCTGTTCTGTCCTTTCTTTTTTTGAATGAGTTTCTAGAAGTTTTAATGGAAATTAGAGGAGATTGGCATCTTCATGCCAGCTGCTACACCCTTGTGATAGCTGACAGTGAAGGGAACTTTATGCCTGGGGAGGAATGGCAATAAGATGGAATTTCAGAGAATGAGACATTTCTTATTATCAGTGCTTACATCTGATTTTGGTTTTTTTAAAAAAAGGAAAGGCTTTTTTAAAACCCTTGAGGAAAAGTAGCCTTGATAGCTGAAAGTTGCAAATGTGTTTGACATTATTATACTGCGCTATGCTTTGGAAATGTTAATAGGGAATTCAGTGTAGCATGTCTGTCATACGAAATAATGAAGACTTGTTGTGTAAATGATATATATATATTTTCCTAATTGCTTCGTAGGTGGTCTTTGAGGCCTTGCATAATCTGGAGCCTCGTGGTTATGTGGTTGGATGGATCATTGCTATCAGCTTGCTGGTGGGAATTCTCATCTTCCTGTTTCTGGCTGTGCTGCTGTGGAAGGTAAGCTTTCTGTCAGACACAACACAGACACAAGGATTAGCCACGGCCTTGGCATAAAACGTGCATCTCTCCCCCCCCCCGGCCCCCTTTCAGTCCCTGGTAAGTATTTATCATCCATTAGCTTTAATGAGCAAACAGTGTTCCGCACTGAGGACATAAAATGTCAGGAAAAAGTTTATTCCCCTTATTGGGAAAATGGAAGATACATAACGAGAAGCTACTTCCACATAATTTTCTGCCAGTCAATATTCAAGTAGCTTCTTTAAAAGGTAAAGGGACCCCTGACCATTAGGTCCAGTCATGGCCGACTCTGGGGTTGCGGCGCTCATCTCGCTTTATTGGCTGAGGGAGCCGGCGTACAGTCATGTGGCCAGCATGACTAAGCCGCTTCTGGCGAACCAGAGCAGTGCACAGAAACACCGTTTACCTTCCCGCCGTAGTGGTACGTATTTATCTACTTGCACTTTGACGTGCTTTCGAACTGCTAGGTTGGCAGGAGCAGGGACCGAGCAACGGGAGCTCACCCCGTCGCGGGGATACGAACCGACCTTCTGATCAGCAAGTCCTAGGCTCTGTGGTTTAACCCACAGCGCCACCCGTTAGCACCTAATTCCATGACTTATTTAGCATCAAAACGAGGCCAACATAAAACAGGTAGTGTCCTCTGCGTGATTGCCCATTATAAAGAGTCATTTGGTCAGATGTTTTAGGCAGCTTTTTATTCAGGACATTTTCTGCTCTTTATTCATCACTATGATAAAACTTGGATGTTTTGGTTGTTGTTGTTGTTTTTTTAAAAAATAATAATTAAAGCAAATGTTTCCCTGCCTCCAATAAACAGTATTTATATTTGTTGTGCAACCCACAGTTTTCACATCACCACCAGTAAGGAAATTGCATAGAAGTGTGGCCAGCTTTTTGATGGAGCTGTTAGTTACACACCCAAAAGATAGATCCCTGCCCCTAGGAGCTTGCAATCTAAACGGACATTGTGGGTGGGTGAGGGGAGTCAAAAGGAGATGCAAGGGACAAAGGCATGTAAATGTATTGTTGCATCGTTACTGCCACATCCTCCATTTTGGCTAGGTCACACCAGCTCAAGGAAACATAATTCCCAATACAAACAGCTGTGACACATGCAGCCTACGTCCTCAAGCACTCAAAAATTCCGGGGAGAGCATATACCTGAGTTTGGCTTCCCTTTTGAAGTTTTTGAGATTCATTTACAAATATGCAAGTGAAGCGTAGGAAGAGACTGTGATTCTAATATGATCTAGTTGAGATTCCGGCATTGGAGGGACTAGATGACCCACAAGGTACCTTCTAACTCTGCAGTTCTTTGATTCTATGAGACAGACAGCCTAGCACTCCTACAAGCTGCAACTTCAGTGCCTTACATCAGAGCCCCAGAGATGCTGCCTTTACATAGTTAACCATACTCAAGGCGGCTTACAACATGAGGTGATTTACATAATTGCAAATGAACATAGTCATTGTTGTTGTTTAGTCATTTCCAACTCTTTGTGACCCCATGGACCAGAGCACTGCCTCCCTCAGTTTGGTCAAACTCATGCTGGTAGCTTCCAGAACACTGTCCAACCATCTCATCCTCTGTCGTCCCCTTCTCCTTGTGCCTTCCATCTTTCCCAACATCAGGGTCTTTTCCAGGGAGTCTTCTCTTCTCATGAGGTGGCCAAAGTATTGGAGCCTCAACTTCAGGATCTGTCCTTCCAGTGAACACTCAGGGCTGATTTCCTTCAGAATGGAGAGGTTTGATCTTCTTGCAGTCCATGGGACTCTCAAGAGTCTCCTCCAGCACCATAATTCAAAAGTATCAATTCTTCGGCGGTCATAAACAATAAATAAAAAACACATCAAAAAGTACACAACCAAACTGAACAATTCCCTCATAAATAATAAGATCTAAAAATAAAGATAAAAAATTAACATCAATAACAACAACAAATGCCAAAACGCCCCCCCCCCAGCCCAAGATTCTGTTCAACAGTCTGAGCTTTTGTAGCTGGAGTCAGTCCAGGCTCCGTCCTCCCAGGCCAAGCGGAAAAATGCTTGCAAGGTCTTCCAGGATTCACAGCCAAGATGGTCTCTTTCAAGAGGGTAAAGGGGGTTAGCCACAGTTTAAAAGACACTAGCCATTTTACCCTAACACCCCTGCCTCAAAAATAGGCCTTGAAGCATAAAGTCAGGCAAATTCACAGCTGCCATGGCAAACTCTAATGTAAATATCACATTCTTTCCATTACAGTAGCTTTTCAGTCCCTTCTTAATAACACAATTTTAACATACAAAGCTCTCTTTCACAAAAGGAATACCTTGTTTATCGCTGTCTTGCTTAGTGTTGGCCACAGATACACAGGCCCTGTTTAAGGAGATGTTGAAAGCAGCCTTCCTGTAAATACCCCACGGCTTATTTGTGCAGTCGAAAAGCAGTTGTGATGTTGTAAAAGAAGAGCTTGAAATTGCTTGGGAGCTCAGCACCATTATAAATGCAACTTGTCCCCTGTTCCCTCTCTGTGGCCTCACAGTGTGTTATTCGTCTTTATTCCGCTGGCTAAAATGCACAGCTGAATGTTTTCTAACAGGAAAAGATATATATGAATCCTTTGCCAGTGATTTTCGGCATAGCCTGTCATTTCAGTCCAGAGATCAAAAGAACATAAGAGAGAGCCTTGCTGGATCAGAGCAATGGCCCAACAAGTCCAGCATCATGTTCTCACAGTAGACAACCAGATCCCTGTGGGAAACCCACAAGCACGAGTCGAGCTGGTATCCAGAAGCATTTCTGCCTCCAGCCGCAATCCTTCTTCTATACGTGGGGCTGAAGTACCAGGGGCAAGTGGGAGGGAGGTCCTGTTATCTGCCTACTTAGGGCCCTCGTATTTACAGGACCGCCTCTGCTGGTATGCCCTGCAGAGGACCTTAAGGTCCATGAATAATCATAGTTTAGAGGTCCCGGGCCCTAAAGAAGTCAGATTATCCTCCACCAGGGCCAGGGCCTTCTCAGTGGTGGCTCTGACCTGGTGGAATGCTCTGTCCCATGAGACCAGGGCCCTGCAGGATTTAACTTCCTTCCGCAGGGCCTGTAAGACAGAGCTATTCCACCTAGCTTTCAATTTGAACTTAGCCTGATCTTTTATTCCCCTTCCTTCCCTCCCCCTCCCCTTTTTATGAAGATTACCTGCTCTGGGATCCCACAGCTAATTCTCCCTGGTCTCCTCGCTGGCCCAAATAGGACTAATTTAGCCAGCTAGCCCTGGCTAAATTGATCGTCTAATGCTTATTGGATGGATTTCCCCCCCCAAATTGATTTTTGAATTCTGAGTTTATTGTTATTCAGGTGTTATACTGTATTTTATGCTGTTTTTTGCTGTATCAATTAAGTGTTTTAAATTTGTTGTTAGCTGCCCTGAGCCTGGTTTTTTGAACCGGGAAGGGAGGGGTATAAATAAAATTATTATTATTATTATTATTATTATTATTATTATTATTATTATTATTATTTTGCATGTACCATCCAGCATCCCCTAGCAGAATGCCTTTTTCAAATAAATACCTTCCTCAAAGGTCAAGCATTCATAAGAATGCTGCCTTATCCAGGTAACCATTACTTGGAAAAGCGCATCCTGGGCTTGCGGCCCTGTGCATGCTTAGTTGGGAATAAACTGCACTGAACAAATTGGCGTGTGCATTCAAACAAGCATGCGACCAATGTCACAGTTACCTTTTAAAGAGACTTTTATTTGCGTAACAGCCCCAGCCCCCAGGGATCGCGGGAAAGCAAATAAAGACTGACAACGTTATGGAATTAAAACCAGGCCATAACTTTATTAAACTTCCGAATGTAGGGCGACCTTGGCTTAGGCCTTGGGCGTGTATTCCTCCCTGCCCCCCAGCCGGGGGGAACTGGGGCACATCAGGGCAACTGGGATATGGGGGTGCTCTGTGCGACATAAGTGTAGGCAGGCAGCCCAGCCCATATCCCCCCACACAGGGTAGTTCACTGACAACCTTTCAGTGCATGGCCAGGGACACCCATTTATATAACCCCTTTAAGAGAGGACCCTGGAATCGCCGCCGCAGGGGGAGTGAATCACCACTCCCTCCTCCATTATAGGGAAGAAAAGACTAAAGGATTCCACCCAAGGCCATAACCACCAAAGTTGTGAAGAATTGCTACGGGGAAGACAAAACCTGCCAATGCGGGAAAATTTCTTCCCGGTCCTTCAACGTAGCAGAATGTCCGCTAAACAGGGAGCAAGTTAACCAGCAAACAAGGAAACATTAAATAAGGGAGGGTAGGGAAGGTGAATCTCCAGAGCCGTCTGCCTGGCTAATACCGGCTCCTCCCCCTATTCATAATGGGGGCTGGCCCCACCTTGAAATTCAATACTGCGCCTGGGTGTGAACCTCTGAATAATACACTGAGAAGCAGGCCGGCCCCTTTCTACTAGCAAGTTCCCTGGGAACTGTAGCACCACATGCGATCCCGCAAAAGGCACCCACAATATATGATGTGAGTGCTCATTTTGTGATTTCCTGGGATTGTTTTGTTTATTTATTTACAACATTTTTTTGTTACCCTGCTCTTCAGTCAGGAAAGTATCTCAGAGCAGTTTACGAAGAGCAAAAATAATACAAGGTTGCATTTTTTCCATGTTATCCAACATCTTTTTAAAAAATGCTTATTTTTTTAAAGCAAACTTGTCCAAACTAAACAAATAAAAAGCTGGAGCCCCAAATCACAAAAAAACAAGTTTTTCATTGTTGTGGTATGTGTGTTTTTTAAAAGCTGTCACTTAGCAGCTTTCTAACTTCCTCATAACTTTTTATGAGCTGCAGTTTGTTTCATAGTTGATAAATCCTGATATGTTCACCTCAAAATACTCCTCACCCCTTTTACCACGACATGGTATTTGAAACACAATACTAGCATATTTCAAATGTAGCTTTTATTTTTGGCAAATCTTTTGGATAAATAT